GCAATTAGAAGGAAGCAATTGCAAATCGAAGAAGATCTCATCAAGAAGAAATACGCTAGGGACATCGCTCAACTGCAAGAAGAAACGGATAGGGAAAGTTTAAAAGAAGACGATTTAGTGGAAAATAGGGTACGCGTTGATAGGTGGTTAGAGAACGTAGAGACTGTGCGGGGGGAGCCGCCCTACCGCCCGTCTCAGCCCGCGCCCCGCATCGAGATAGAGCAGGCCCCGCCGAGTAGGGGAACCGGTTACGACCACGCTGAAGATGCCCAGGGGAGGTCGGTTGCAAATGATGTTCAAACGCGCCGCGTAGATACGATACAGAGGGACAATGGAGTCGCCGTAGAAATGAACCAGGTGGATCGCCGTGTACGGGTTACGTCGCCGTCGCGCATCCAACGCCGCACTCTATCGCTTATACATAGATCGCCACATCGCCACGCGGATCGTAGATTACCGTCGCCGTGTAAGGATGTAGGTGCACGTAGATCGCCATTGCCACATCGCCATGCGGATCGTAGATTACCGTCGCCGTGTAATGATGTAGGTATAGATAGATCGCCACATCGCCACGCGGATCGTAAATTACCGTCGCCGTGTTACAGGGATGTAGGTGTACATAGGTCGCCAGCGCCACAGCGTAGGCTAGAGGGAAATAGGGATAGAGATAGGTCGCTCACCCGCGAGGGAAAGATAGGAGTATAGAACGACTAGCGGAAGCCTTAGAAGGCATGATAAGACTTAGACCAGCCGCCGCGAAGCAGACACAGGAGCTGCCTATTTTCAACGGCTCGGCCGCGGAATGGTTATCGTTTATAGCCGCGATGAGAGAGTCCACGCGTCTATATGGATTCACCAACACGGAAAATATGGCAAGGTTAAGGAACTGTTTACGTGGTGAGGCTAGGGAGGTAGTATCGGCGCTGCTGTTTACCGCGAAGGATCCAGCAGACATTATGCGGACACTGGAGCAGTGTTTCTGCCGCCCGGAAGTGATTATTGATCGTGCGTTAGATGACTTGACGCCTTCCGCGCATGGGTCAAACCGCCCAGGAGTTAAATTCGTTCGCTATTAAGTTACAAAATATAGTATGTATTATGCAGAACGTCGACGGCAAAGGATGTTTACAAAATCCGATACTAACTAGGGAGGTTACGAGTAAGCTTAGCCTTCACTTACGGTCGCGTTGGTGCGATTATGCGGAGCACTACGGAAGTGCGGACGAACCGGACATTGTCACACTATCCCGATTTATGATGAGAGAGGCTGACCGTGCGTTAAGTCACGCCTATACGTCCGTAACTCCGACTAAGGAATCGCCCGTAAGACGAGAAGCGCCGCCGTCGAAAAGGATAGTGTTGACACGCCGCGTAGAGGATAGGGCCCGCGATGTAAAGACGTTCACCGCCCAGGAGGACACCGGTAGTGCCTCATGTATGTGTTGTGGGGGTGAATACCCTATCGCCAAATGTAGGAAGCTGGCGCAAATGGGTTTGGACGACCGGTGGAAGAGGGTAAGGGAAGATGGGGTGTGTTTTAGGTGCTTAAACAGCAAACACCGACGCATACGTTGTAAAGCTAGGAAGTGCGGCGTCGACGGCTGCAACGCCCCCCACCACGCTCTCCTTCACACCCGCAAGGCCCGCACGCCTGAAGCGTCGGTAAAACCGGATGAAACCGTGCTCGTCGCGTCGAATGTTAGTAGTAGTGCGTCTGTATTATTGAAAGTGTGCCCCATAAGCGTGCGCGGACCGCGCGGCAAGGAAGTTGATACGTATGCGCTACTTGGCGAAGGCTCTACCATATCGTTGATCGACGACGACTTAGCTCGCGAGTTAGGAGCGGAAGGACCGGTAAAGCCGCTCAATATCAGAGGCGTAAATAATAGTCAACGCGAGACCAATAGTAGGTTAGTTAATATAGGGATACGTGGCAAGACGCGCAATGAGATGTATAATATAAGCGCGCGAACGATAGCAGATTTAAAGATGGGCTCGCAGTCTGTGAGTAGGGAGTGCTTACGGTTGAAGCACTTACGCGACTTACCGAGTTCGGTATGTTACGACGACGCGAAGCCGAGATTATTATTCGGCGCCGACAATTGGCATTTAATAATTACCTGTAATTTGAGAATAGGACGTCGAAGGCAGCCCATAGCTGCACGTACGTTGCTAGGGTGGGTAATTCAGGGAACCGTGCCGCAGTTAACGTGTAGGGAAGTCGACGAGACAAAACAAAATTCGTAAATGCATGTAACTAAATGACGATACAATAGTTATAGGATGTATCTAAGTGACCTTTATCCGAACGTTAAATGTGAATAGCGTTTATTGATTTCGGTGCGAGAAGTTATCGAATCCGAGTCGATTTCGCTTTCCGAGACGATTGTGAATAGCCCGGCAGAACTAACTTGTTGATACATAACGTTAGGTATGTATTTTAACAGTGGTAGAGCCACGCGGCAGCTTTTGCTGTCGCACGGATGGGCCGGCTCGAACCGGGGTAGTACCACGACCTCACAGAAAACCAGCGTGAAGTAGAGGTTTACCTCTGCGTTTCGCTTGGTGAGTGCAGGTGGCCGGAGGCCCTTTTTACTGGAAATGAGGCATTCCATCTTAGTCTTCACGGGTGACAACGCATCTACATTTTGATTTGTAACAGAGGATAGATGGAGATGTCTATGGGCCGCAGCAACCACTTACCATCAGGTGGACTGTGTGCTCGTTTGTCACCCTTATTCTATAAAAAAAAAATGCAACAACTTGAGCAATTATATTATGTACTCAAACTGAAAAAACAACTAATTTTGTAACACAATGAATTTACTACTCCAGGTCGAAAGGTTAAATTAATCGCGGCTCTAAGTGATCAATACCTGTACTTGTACTAATTTAATTAAACTGTTGCTCTTATGCTGGGGCCACAGTAACCGGAAACGTCAATGCGTGAAGTATAGTATAGTAAGTGGTTAGACTTGAACGGTCAACGTCATTTCAATTTCAATGCCATTGAACAGCGTTAAAGTCAACGCGATAATTAACGGCATTTCTAGGTAGTGTGGCCCCAGCATTATATGTTCACATGCATTGACTTATGACATAAGTCTTATGTTTAATATTATTAATGTGGTTCGAATCTGGGGGCACGGTAGTGCCCCCGCCAAGCCGAGCAAAAAAGCGGCACGGCCGTACCATCCTTTTCTCGAAGCAGTTCAGGCCATTTTCGAAACCCTATAACTTCGTTGTGGATAAAACTAGAAGCCTGAATTCAGTAACCAAGTAGGCATTGTATAAACTTGGTATATTTCAAATTTCATTAAATTTGAACCAGTAGTTTAAGAGTTAAAACTAGTCAAAGTTTCTTAATTTCGTCACTCACTGACTGACCGATCATCAAAACTCTGAGGCACTTCTAGCAGACATAGAAGCTTCAAATTTGGAATACAATTATTGTTTAGTATATAAATCAAGGAAAAACTATAACTAATAGATTGACTTGGCCATCGCATGAAAACACAATGTATCTCTTGTTAAAAAAATAATAAGTTTAGACTGTTTAAATCTTTTAATCTGTTATTAATTTTTAAACACAGCTAATTTCAAACTCCTCGACCTGTTTTTTTCTAAAGTTGCCAGTTATATAAAAACAACTCCCTAGGAGGCTATTAATACCATAGTGATTTATATAAATTTTCCCAAGTAATTTAAATAAAAATATTTAAACAATAAAAAGGACAGAATTAAAACCTTAAATTAATATTTTTAACAGTCGGCCATCCTGAAATGGTGGCTGTTCCAGACACAAGAAAAAAAATAATATTAAAAAAAATGTTATTGGAATCATAAGTAACCATCAATTGTCTATTATACTGGAACACATTCATATAATGAAATATTACACATTGCAAAAAAAATTACAAAATTACAACTGGTAGCTTGATACTTTGTCGGCCATCCCGCACCACAGAATGTCCCCATTCTGTATAATGTTTAGATGTTGGAATTATGTGCCTTGAGTTTGTTCAGCGTCCCTTTCTCGCGAGAAGTTCACAGCATCTGTACAGCAAATTGGGTCGGCTGGGCACCGCATGCATACATAGTATGCTTCGGCTTCACTCCAGCGAAATTAAGTAATCTCTGGGCACCGCTTGCACACACAAGGTACTTCGGCCTCTCTCTAGAGATTTTATATGAATGGGCACCGCTTGCACACAAAGGGTGTTTCGGCATCACTCCAGTTCATTTCAAGTCAACAAGTCTGGGCACCGCTTGCACGCACCAGGTGCTTCGGCCGCACTCCAGTTCATCAACAGCTAACAAGTCTGGGCACCGTTAGCATTAGCAAGATGCTTCGGCCTCACTCCAGGAAATTTCATTGTTTATTGGGCATCGTGTGCACACACAAGGTGCTCTGGTCTCCCTCCAGTCTTCTAGGATATCAGCATTGCTTTACTGCCAGGGCACCATGTATGCACCCTCGTTGGCATCATAGAGTTCAATCAGGACTGGATGTTGGAAAAGAATAATCAGGACAAGGAATTAAGGAAATTTGTATATTTGAATAGCACACTATATCAGAATCACAGGGCAGTAGTATAAATAACACATAAAAAATTACACGATTTGTACGGGTGAATAATTAGATTAATTGTTAGTTACTATCGCAGTAATCACTTTCGGATTCTGAATCATTAAATGTCACCCAAGGCTTTAATTTATCTATCGGGAAAACGTTACTATACTTTTTTTTGAGTAACCCTCAACAAATTAAATTAGGCAATAAATTGGGCTCCACTAAATAGGCTTCTACTCTTTCATTTATTCCATCTAATTCCACTTGAATGATGATTCGGCCATACGGAATTAAGGTACCATTGCCGAATCCCTTCAAGTTTGGTAAATTGATGTTATCAATCGGGATGTTCAACTTTAATCCTAAATCTTTTCTTAATAACGTGCACTGACTACCAAAGTCAATAAAACCTGATATTATTTGACCATTAACCTTGTTTATAGTATTTATTGCCTCTGCTGTCGTTATTTGTAATCTTTAGTACACTTTTGGTTGTATTCGTGTTGTTTGGGATTAATCTTTGTTCTTTTTTTGTTGGATCTGCAAATCCATTACAGTCTTTTTCTGTGTGACCATAGCGTCGACACTTTTTACATTTAATAAGCTCCTTGGAACATCTTGTGACAGTGTGACCTTGTTCACCACAGTTAAAACATGTTATCAGAATTTGTCTTCTCGCGTTTAAATCCATAGTTTTCTTAATGTGACTGTGGTCCGTATTATCACGATTAATCGGAGTGTATCTCTTAACCGTGTCTACAACCTTACTCGATATATTTCTAAAGTACTTCAAGACTTCTTCAGGTTCTTGAAGGTTGGCTTCTTGCACATTCATTCTCACATTTGAATCAAATATTCCGTGAGTCAAGCAATCTACCGCATGCCTGCCTTTAAGTTCGCATCTGTTGACAAGCATAATTTTGTCGTAATAATACTCTTCCAATGTTTCGTTGCGTCTTGTTTTTCGTATTAACATTTCGGATAACAAGTCCTCATAGTTCTGCTTACACGGGAATGCAGATAAAAGTTTATCTTGCCATTCTGACCAGGTATATTTAATGCTTGTCAGTCCGTCATACCAACGTTTGGCTAAACCTTTCAGCTTAGGCAAAGCACAGAATATCGTTTGACGTTCTGACCACCTGTACACATGTGCTGACTCGTTTATTTTAGAAAGTCAATCTTTCATTGTCTGTGACTTAGCTTGTGGGTCGAATTCTGCTATCATGTGCTGAGCGTTATGTATGGCAGTACCAGGAGACCCAGCATTAATTTTATTGTTGAGAACACTAACTAATTGTTCTAGCAGCGTTGTATTCAGTGTTTCCTTTACACTAAGTGACTCGCGTGAACCATGACGCCGTACTTTATAATTATGGCTTTTGGATAAAATTGAAGAATTTGATCTACTACGCTTTAAAGTATTTCTCGAATGCCTTTGAGTATATTCTGTTCCCGATCGTCCCGATTCTGACAACAAATTTTTATTGAATAAGGGTGACAAACGAGCACACAGTCCACCTGATGGTAAGCGGATACTGTGGCCCATAGACATCTACATTTATCCTCTACTAGAAATCAAAATACAGATGCGTTGTCACTCCTGAGGACTAAGATGGAATGCCTTGTTTCCAGTAAAAGGGGTCTCCGGTTCTCTACACTCACCATACGAAACACAGCAGCATTAAGCTGCTGTTTTACGTAGGTAGTCTGTGAGAGCGTGGTCTTACCCCGATAGAGCCGACCCATCATGCTACAACCATAATATAGCTCCAGCGTGGCTCGACCACGTTTTAAAAAAATATCGTCCCGTGGGTGTCGTAAGAAGTAACAGAGAGAATCAAAACAGGATATGGGCAGTAGCGTCTTTCTAATAACAGTTTGAAAATTAAAAAAACTGCAGTTGCCAAATGCCAACCCGCTGGCCAAGCAATTACTGCAAATATCCACCCTCTGAGGCAATCTATGAGGGAGGCCTATATTCACCAGTGGACTTTAATATGCTGTAACGGTAACGGTAAAGTCCACAGCTGAGCATAGTCCTCCTCAAAGATTGTCTCACAAGGGGGATAATTAGCATGGTTGCACAGTTGTCTAAGTTGCACTTATCACAGTTTTTGAAGTTATTCTTTTTTTAACGCGTTTGAGAAAAATGATGAGAGTGAATTTTTTACGATGCGCGCACACACCGACACCTAAAAACGACACCATGAAATTGTTACGATGCGTAAGCACACTGATACCTAAAAACGACACCATGAAGTTGTTACGATGCGCGCGCACACTGTCACCTAAAAATGACACCATGAAGTTGTAACGATGCGCGCGCACATCGGAACCTAAAAGCAGGGACTTAAAACGTTATAAATAACAGAATGTATAACGTTATAATAACGTTATAATTGTATCGTTACCTCAACAAGCATAGCGTTTTCAATATTTAGTATAACGTTTTAAGAGTAGCAGAACAAAATTGTGACAGGCAATTTAACGTTATTATAACGATAAAGACGCGACGTTGCCAAACCTATTCATTTTCAAAAGCGTGCGAATCCGCGCGACTTACGAGATGGGTGGGGCCTGGGATCCAATTGGTCTACTAGATAGCTTGAACGGACGAGGAATTCCTCGCACTCCACGCACTCCAGAAGCGAACTGGCAACGTTGTAAATATTTAAAACATTTGATAATATTTTTTGCGATTATATATTATAACGATTTGCGACGTATTAATAATTATACCTAGATAAATATCATATTACTTATATTTATTTATTTTTTAAAGTTGATTCGAACTACACTTGTTTACAAATATTGGAAATGGATCGTAAAAAATTAATAAGTCTTATAGATATTTTAATCTTGATGAAAACAGTAAGACTTCAAAATGTTTAGTTGCTGGATGCGAAAAAGTTTTGAAGGTAAGTTAAGCAAAAATCGTAGATAACGTGTAGAAGAATGCGCCTTTTTCAGTCAGTTTTTATTAAGAAAAATATTGTATTTATATATGTACAGGGTCTCCTAGAAAACAGGACACCAACCTACTTTACCTTCTGTTAGAGCGTGGTCCTTCCCCGGTCGAGCCGACCCATTCGTACTAATATATCTGCAGCCTGCAGCATAGCTCTACCACATCATATCTTGTCATATTTACCTGTTCATATCTTAATGCATTATACTTTTTTAGATTTATGCAAATATTTGACATTTTAAATAAAACTATCAACACAATAATATTATTTCAACTAACAACACTAGTGAACCGATTTTGATGAAATCGATATTATTCCTTAATTTGAAATAAATCATCATCATCACCATCATTACAGCCTTTCATAAGTCCACTGCTAAACATAGTCCTCCCCTAAAGAATGCCACAAAGCACGGTCCTGAGCCACCTGCATCCATCGACTTCCTGCATGTCTTACCAGGTCGTCACTCCATCTAGTGGGGAGTCGCTCTACACTTCGCCTACTGGTACGAGGCTGCTACTCGAGAACCTTTCTTCCCCATCGGTTGTTGGTTCTTGGAGCTATATGGCCGGCCCACTGCCACTTCAGCTTACTAATCCGTTGTGCTATGTCGGTTACTCTGGTTCTAATGCGGATATCCTCATTTCTAAGTTTATCACGCAGAGAAACCCCGAGCATAGCCCTCTCCATAGCTCGCTGAGCGACCTTAAGCTTCCCTCATATGGCGAGCAGTTGAAATAAATGTAAGCAAATAATTCCTAATTTGAAATAAATAAAAAACGAATGATCACGATCCGACTAGTTTTGGAGAAATGCGTGGACAAACATACATACATATATACACGTATAAAATTTTGTATATTTGCTTAGAAGGCCTAATAGATAATTATATGTGAATATTTTGCAGTTCCAATAATATTACATACATACGTGTCGAATTGATAACCGCCTCTTTTGAAGTCGTTTAAAAATTCAAACCGACTTTACGCCTAACAGAACATATCTTGAAAACTACTCAAGCGATTTTTATAAAAATTGCACTGTTCTTTAAGTTGAAAGATGGTTAATGTAATAAAAAGTGTGTGTACTTATGAATTTACACTTTTTTAGCGTAACAAACCAAAATTAACTAAAAATTATATAGGATCCTGGTGACAATTAATTTACGGCTCCGTGGCGCAGTGGCTTAATAATGAGTTACAGCGTTAAGGGCCGCGGGTTCGATTCCCGAACGGAAAAAGTATTTGTATGGCCTACAAATAATTGTTCTAGGACTAGATGTTTATCCTTGTGAAATCTATGTATGTAAACGTTCCCTGCGATACAGGAGAAAATCTAATTATAAAAGTAAAATTTGTGGAGATAATGTTTTTAAAAAATATATAGAATTTGTATTTATAAAGATTTTTAAACCTTATTATTCTTACTTTTTACTCTTAATATTGTTTCACAAAATATCACGTATACTTCAATCACGTCTTTTGATGGGTAAATTTAACCTCTTTTATCTTTAAGGATATAAATAAATATATTAACGATTTTACATCATTATGCTGAGAAGCTCAGATTGCCAAACTGCGATACAATCTCAACACTTAAGTTTGTTTAGCAAAACTCTTCCTCTCTATCCACATCTAATAATGTTCTTTTCTTATGTGCATGGAAAGAAAATCACTTAATACTAATATACTTTGAAGTGGCAAAAAATTTGTATTATATAAATATATTATATATGATGAATTCCTTTAGATCTATCCTATACTTTCTTTTGAGCATGTCCATTTTTAACTCTATTTTTTGTCTATTATTCTTCTCTTTAATTTAGATATTTTTTTAACATTATCGTCCTTCTTAGTGTCATTTCAATACTACTGATTGATGTACTATAAGCAGATAAGCTAAGTAGAGGTTCAACTCTGTGTTGATATGTGGATGATCTATGTGGAAGATCAACCTGGAATTCAAACATATTAAATAGACAAGGCAGACTTATTGGAACGAAGTTCCTTATCGGACGGTACGAATTTGGCGGATGGGGGCTAGGCGAGAAAAAAATGTAAGATATTTCCGCCACGACCCCTTCTGACGTATAAAAAAGCGAGATGGAATAATATCCATCTCCCTCGCACTTTTTCTTATCTTGCCATGAAATAAATATTATTTTATTTTAAATGACGCTTCATTTTAATAGACGCTAGTAATTCACTGTATTTGTTAATCAATAATATAATACGTTTATCAATAACAATAATATAATATACTACGAAATGTACTTCGTTCCAACCGAGTGTTCCACAACACTCACGCATGTTTTTTTTCACATTACTTATGAAATTCAAGGGCAATCCAACATATAATCTAGTTTAACAATAATATATAGAAGAGTATTTCAACTTCTATACAATTATTTTGTCTACACAATCCTTAATGTATGCAGTAAAATAGTAAGAACATCATTTTATTGTTACGAATGTAATACAAAGTTAATGAACTATTTATTTTGAAACACCCATATTCCGAGTTGTATGTACTACTACAGTTGATAATTCAATTGCTGCGCTGACGACCACAAAACGTATTTTTAGCCTATAAACTTTAGAGCACTGCGTTCGATACAGAAGAAAAGAGATGGCATAGAACAATAAATAATAACATTATGATTTTGTGATAACAATATTTTAGAAACGTTTATTTGACAAATTTATTGTAACGTAATTAAAACGTTATATACATGCAAAGCTTTGCATAATATCGTTTTGACATATCGTTTCTCTTAAACATAACGTTATCTCGCACTTGCGCAGATAACGTTACTGTATTTTAACGGTATTTAAGTCCCTGCCTAAAAGCGTCTTCTTTGGTCCATCTTAGTCTTTAGGAGTGACAACACATCTGCATTTTGATTCTTAGACGAGGATATATGTAAATGTCTATGGGCCACCGCATCCACTTACCATCAGGTGGACCGTGTGCCCGTTTGTCACCCTTATTCCATAAGAAAAATATGGATATAGGCTTCAAACAAATTGTGAAGAAGTGTTTTAAGCAAATTACCATTTCCATTCAACCAATTAGTGTTCATAAAATAATAATTGATTGAATAATTATTCATAAAATAAAACATTGGGTTACATGGTCGAAGATACAGGACAGAACAAATCTTTGAAAAAAAAAAATATGTTCGCTGCATTCAACCGTTAGGTATATACACATATTAAAGATAGGTACATTTAAATCTACACTAGTACAATTAAATTATTTATTTATATTATAACTAGCTGGCCAGGCAGACGGTGTTTTGCCCTTTCCGACGAATCTTCCTATAAAAGATTCTGTGCCGGACGGGCGTAACCCTCCGGAGTAAATGTTGTCGAAGATACTCCGCGAGTCGCTCACGTCCTACACCTATAGGTTTTTTTTTATAGGGTAGGGTGACAAACGAGCACACAGTCCACCTGATGGTAAGTGGTTACTGTGATCCATAGACATCTACATCTATCCTCAATAAAGACTCAAGATGCAGATGCGTTGTCACCCGTGAGGACTAAGATGGAATGCCTCTTCGCCAGTAAAAAGGGTCTCCGGTTCTCTACACTCACCATACGAAACACAGCAGTGTAATGCTTCTATTTTACGCTGGTATTCTGTGAGAGCGTGGTCCTTCCCCGGTCGAGCCGACCCATTCGTGCTACAACTATACTACTAATATTGCTGCAGCATGGCTGAAAGAGAATCTATCACCGTATTTCATACCTCGGGCGTCGGGATAGGCGACTATGGCTCCAATATTCCAATTGATAGCGCTATAGCTAGTTTGTTTACGTTAAAAGTCAATGTACGCAGACCGGTCTCCGCTCCTCAATTTGCCTACCAAACGTTGCGATTTAGGCAAATCCACCTTAAAAAGTGAGAGGCTCATGTCAAAACTGTAGCATTCGCGTAGGTAAATATGGCAAATATCTATTATAAGGCAACTTCCAAAAGTTGCCTTATAATAGATATTTGCCATAGCTGCTACACTTGGCATGCGGGTTGGTTGTTCTCAGGAAGCCCCTGCTGCTCATCTCCTGATTTAAGATATGGGGTAGTGGATATTCTTACACGGCCACTACACGGTCAACGGTCACTACAAGGTCAACGGCCACGGTTCCTTTTTGTGTAACTACGTCCTATTTAGAAGTAGCGGATTAAATAACAAGTCATTGGCAATATGATTATTTTAATGTCTTATCTAGATTTGTCAATACTTATATTAGTCTACAAATATTAAAATAATAAAGATACACGGTATGTAATGGAAAAATAATATAATATATTAATCTATTTTGACACAATTACAAAATAATACGTGTTCAAAGTTCACCGAAAGCCGTCTTTCGCGATTCAATCAGTTAGTTAAATGGACTGGATATCGACGGTTAAATCGGCTAGATAAATGGACGGCTAGGCCGTTAGTTAAATGTTTTTTTATTAAGATTCTGGCTTGGATACTTGTCCTTTAAGCTGTCTTCATTTATCTTATTATCAAGTGATAATAATCCTTTATAGTACACTGCTTCATAATATGGTGATGCGTCACATTGCGTAGTTTTTGGGAGATTTTGACGGCAACTTGAGCCAGCAGACGGTTGGCGATAATATCTCAAGGCACCTAAGTAGACAGACACCTTATCTTGAGATTCACATCACCATCGGAGCACTTGTTTCACCGTTTCCATTGATAGTTCACATGTGCAGATATTTAATACACAAAATCGCATCACTTTTATATGTCAAAATCCCCTTCAAACCATTATTTTAACAATACAGGAGCAGCAATTCGCCGCCGGTCAAGTTCCCGCCAAAACTCTAACTTTAGACTTTCGACCACAGTACACAGACCACAGTTCAACCCGAGTATTTAATGATTTAATTAAATTAACACAACCCTATACTTAACGGAAAAAATGAAAATCCACAATAAAAATAAGATGTGATCCATCTTCTTTTAATCCCAACATGCGCCGCCGTAGATGACCAGCACTGAACAAGAGAACTATAAATTCTTGTAGGTATTCAATTGAATGTTAGCCAGCTGATAAAACCGTCGAGCTGCGACATTTATACAATTAACACAAGTTATAAATGCAAAAGTGGATACATGGCACTTGGAATAATATTATGTACAAAATAATTATTGACAGTTTAAATACACAATTTTGTTGTAATAAATGCTACAATTTCCTACTTCATTATTAGAAAGAAAATTGTACATTAAACACTATATGTATATCATGTGTGGTACCCCAAATTCGACACAATGCACTTTAAATTAAACTCAAATAGTTATACACTATACCACATTATGCACTAAAATACGAAAATATCGTTAATATTATATAGCCCTACGCCATCTTGTATACAATTGCGAAAGGCGGGAAAATTTCACACGTCATCGTCACGATCCTCGGGCCTGTGTCTTTGTAACACTGCGAGTCTTTGCTGAGTTACTTCTAGGTGATGTTTTCGCCATTTAATACGTCGATTCTGAAACCAAACTTTCACCTAAAAAAAGAAAATTTTATTTTAAATGATTAATAGAAGGCAAAGGAAAACCTAACGAATGCTACTGTTAGTCGGTTTATACTGAGATTTGTAGCCAATTCACGTAGGTAGCAGACGACAGATTGCTGAGCAAGTCATTGATGAAAATAAATCGAGTAACACCTGAGTATATACCTAGAACTAATTATAGTTCGTCACAAATTAATGAATGACCACGTCATGGACTCCTAAGTTGGTATGTTGGTAAGGTTTAACAACAATCTTTTTTAGGTACGTTCGATTTTTTTTAATTGAAGTGACAAAGACAAGCGTACTTACAGTCCTGATGGTACGTGGTTAGTGCTTAACTAATTAAAAAAAATCAAAAAAAAAAAAATCAAAAATATCTTTATTTCACAACACAGTGGTTTATAATTGTAAACAGAGGTTGGGACCAACCTATAATAATACTTGTGCTAGGTGGCCCCGCTCTTCCTTACTATACTACATATATTTAATTGTGCTTGTAAAGACAATTTGGCAAAATACTTATAAAAATAATTAATATTAACATCAGTTTAGAGTGAAATATAAGGCAAAACAACAATCAAATTTTAATAAAATTTACATATTACCTGAAATGGATTAATTCTAAATTTTAACAAAATCATGTGTGCGAGCCTGCGTGCATGCGTGCGTGTGTGTGTGTGTGTGTGTGTGTGTGCGTGTGCGTGTGCGTGTGCGTGTGCGTGTGCGTGTGCGTGTGTGTGTGCGCGCGCGCGCGTGCGTGCGTGCGTGCGTGCGTGCGTGCGTGCGTGCGTGCGTGCGTGCGTGCGTGCGTGCGTGCGTGCGTGTGTGTGTGTGTGTGTGTACTGTTGTGTTTTTGCTTACTAATATTGTAGTGTCTAACTAATGCATTGTAAAATAGCCTCTGCTTTTTCATAGTTTAATTTTTTTAACCATTTTATCAACAACTGTTTACAATTATATCTATTCATTTTATATATATTGAGAATTTTGTTTATTTTATTGTAAATAAAAACTGATTGTTTTTTATATTGATGAGAAGCAAATTTTGTGTTTACTTTCTGCGCTACAATTACTGTACCTCTTCTTTTTCGCAAAATGTTCGAATCATAATTAAGACTACTATGCATTTTTAAAACGGTTTGTAAAATGTATATTTTTCTTACAGTAAGTAGCTCACATATTTCGTATAGCTTTTCTGTACAAAATCCATACGGTTTAAAAAACATTAACTCTTTGAGCCCTTTCCACTTCCAAAAATTTGGTTTTGGAGGCGCCACCCCATATAGGAATGCAGTATGCCAATATAGATTGTACCAACGCAATGTATACTTTAATTAGTATATTTTTTGATGCTATATGTCTAAGTTGCTTAAAAATCCAAATTAGCTTTTTGACCCTACCTATAAGATGTTCTATTTGGTTGTGCCACGTCAAACGGTGGTCTATAATTATACCTAAATACTTAATAGCCGATGCTTTGTTTATGGTTGGACAACTACAATCTGTATCACTAACGTTTTTACATTTATGAATTTTTATATTAAAATCGTTTTGTGGTTGGGCCCGGTTATTGATGGTAAAGCACAGGTAATTAGTTTTTTGGTCATTAAGCGTAAGCAAGTTAGTCCTAAGCCAGAAGGCTATTTCGGCCAGTCCCTGTTCAGCACGTTTGCGAACTGCGTCCCAAGTTGTATCATGAAATACAACAACCGTATCATCCGCGTAAGAAAAAATTTCAGCTCCATCTATTTTTAGCTTGCATAAATTGTTAATATAAACAAGAAACAAGGTAGGGCCTAGTACACTACCTTGTGGGACACTGTAGGTAACAAAAGAGTCATCACTAACATACTGTCCAATTTTAACTTTTTGTTTTCTTTCAGACAAGTAGTCCTTCAATAAGTTGAGTGGTGTACCTACGATGCCAATTGTTTCTAGTTTTTGTATAAGGATGGGAATCGAGACAGTGTCAAAGGCCTTTTTAATATCTAGAAAAACAGCTAAGGTTTTCCTTCCTTGATCTCGTTGGTCAACAATTAAGGAGGTAAGAGCTGTTACAGCATCTTCTGTAGATTTTTATTGTCTATAACCAAATTGCATATCAGACAGTATTTTAAATTTATTAATGAATTGTACTAGTCGTTTATTTATTAATTTTTTTATTACTTTTGAGATACTGGAAAGAACAGAAATAGGCCTGTAATTATTAGTATCATCTCTGCTCCCATTTTTGTGTACTGGAGTTATTATGGCTTGTTTTAATAACGACGGGAAAATACCTTGCTTAAAACATAGATTAACCAAATGACAAATAATTGGTACTACTTCATTTTTAGTAAGCTTGAGGAATTTGGTTGGAATATTATCATATCCGGGTGCACTGTCTGATTTGAGGCTCATAAGTATATCATGTACCTCTTTCATATCAGTGTCTAAGAACACAAACGAATTGGACTGTGTACGATTAGTATCCAAATGATTTTTTGTTTCTGTATTAACTTTTAAAAGATTATCCGCTATAGACTTGCCAGTGTTAGCAAAAAAGTTATTAATGTAATTAGCTGATTCCTTAGGAGATGACTTTATGTTTAACAAAATTGTATTATCCTTATTTGAGCTATTTAAATGGGCTATTCTTTTTATGTTGTTCCAAAGATTCTTAGAGTTCTTAGATGAAAGTGCTAGTTCCTGTGTTTCATATTTGCGTTTTAATTTTTTTAGTAAATTGTTACAATAATTTCGATATCTTTTATAACTTATTTTTAGAACTTCATTATGAGGATCAACACGAAGTTTTTTCTGCATTTTATTTCTATTCCTAATACATCGTAATATTCCAGGAGTGACCCATGGTTTCATGACACGTTTGCTTTTGGGTACGTGAATTTCAATAGTGTTATGTTGTAATGACTCAGTTATTTTGTTTATTAGCATTTCTATCACAAAATTGGGGTTATCACAAAACAATATCTCTGAGAGATTTTTTTCAATTAAAGTATTAAGTGCCTTTGTAAAATCAGTCCGTAACTTTGTATTTACACATTTCTCTTTTAACCTTGTATTTGACAAGGTTAGCAATATCATAGAATGATCAGTGATAGTGGTGTTTAAAAAAGCAATTTGGGCTTTATTTTTACTTCTATCTAATTTAAGCATAAAATGATGTAAGCAATTACCACCTCTTGTTGGCAAATAGTGACCAACGAGTAAGCCATGCGTGCTCATCATGTTCAGGTATTGAAGCCTATTGTTGCGCTCATAATTCTGCTCTATACCTTTAGAAATTACATTTATATTTAAATCACCAGTCACTACAATGCGTTTACGTGATTTAATCGTTTCCAAGTGTAGGCTTAAAGAGTTAATAAAGATGTCAGCATTATTGTTAGAGGCTGAGCAATATATACCTAAAATGGTAGTGTCATAAGTATCAATCTGTAAACATGAAGCATGCTCAAGTCTTATTTCTTTGACATTTCCTTTGAAACCTTTTCTCATATACACCACCACTCCATCAGTTTGATTGAGATGAAAATTTGTAGTGAAATATGAATAATTTGTTATATTTGGAATTATTTTGTTGTCCGTAAGCCAACATTCTGTTAATACAATAATATCTGGATCAAAATGTAAGTGTGTGAGTGTCAGGTGTAGATCTTCAATATTACTGTAAGTACTTCTAATATTTTGAGAAATAATTGTTAAATCACTATTTTTACGCAAATATTTTTTGGTATATCTTCTACATCACAGCGAACAGCCTGTGCAGTCTCCGTGGTATCAAGATCATTTAGAATTCTTATGGAACTATTCATTCTCATAAAGGATATATATGCGAGTGTAACTAAGACCGCGTTGGAGAGGTCTGTCACAGTTTTTAATTTGCCAATAGACAATCTGTTCACAATTTATATTAAGTGAAAAAATAGATTTCGGAGCTATTAATTTACGAGGATTAAAGTTTGCAAAATGAAATGAGATGTCTATTATATTAAGTTGTATGTAAGTGTGTATGGATTTTAGATGAATAGTTAACAATAACATATAAGTATAGTGTATTATTTGTATGCAAAGTATGAAAATAAGTGTGTATAATGTAACGCTGAGGTCTGTGTCACAATAAAATTGTATCAATAGAGAAATAAATAAAAAAACAATTAAACAATTCATGAAAATAAAGTGTACAAAGAGCATAATGAACATTTGTAGATACAAAAAAAATATTAATATTATGTTTCTACAAATATAGTCTATGGTTAATACGGAACCTAGTCATGAATCCTGTTGGAGTTGTTGAATTTGTGCTTCAGATTTAATTATTATTATACGAGAGTTTTCGTCTTTTCTCACATAAACTTTACCATAAACTGTCCAACAAAATTTATATTTCTTGGATCTGACGAGGTCTCGGGCGAGGAAGTGTAGTCGAGAGCCTTTTGCTGTGAGCTGCTCTGAAACAAAGACGGGAGTATCTTCTTCTGTATGAAATCCCAGGTGCTTTGCAGATAGCTTAATCTTATGCTTGATATTAAAGTCCTTGCTCATTTTCAGTATTTCCGATTTTATAAGTGTTGAACATGTTTCGACGACAAAGAAAGCAGGATAGATTACGCAATACTCCAAGTATTGCGTAATCTATCCTGCTTTCCGCGCACCCTATAGATGTCCTTGATATCAGTCTTATTTAAGTTGCACCCAATGTTTTTCGGCAAACATGTTACCATATTAATGAGATCTTCTTTGGTTTCACCCGAATTTTTAGGTACGTTTTTGATCTCGAAATTAGTTTTACGGTTGTTCATTTGCATGTTTTCAATTTTGTCCTGTAACAGAGTAATATAGCTTCTGTCCTCTTTTATCTTGCTTTCTAAATGCTCTATTTTCATCCGAAATTCTTCATTTTGCGCAGTTAAAAATGTAATTGAACTTTCAATGTTATTATTTGATTGTTGAATATCTTTTAAAGTGTTAGTAATTTGTTTAAGTTCTTG